GGGGGGGGGGCGGGCTCAGAGACGTGGTCCAGAAAGAGATTTGTAGCAGCAGAAAGCAGGCGGAGAGGCTCGGCTCCTCAGAGGAAATCTGGAGTAGAGCAGAGGACTTTCAGGAACCGGCCGTTTTCAGCATTTCACCAGCAGCTGATGGAACTGTTGATTCAGCAGAGCTGTGACATCACAACCCAGCCGGGCAGAAGCCTCTGCCCCCCCCCCCCGCCCCCTCTCCCCCCCCCCCCGCCCCACGCCCTCCAGCCCAGAATCCCCCAGTCCAGAGCCCCTTTAGAGGCCCAGAGCCCTCCAGCCTGGAGCCCCTCAGCCTGGCCGAGGAGCTCCGGGCCTCTAAAGGGGCTCTGGGCTGGGGGTCTCTGGGCTGGTCGGGGGCTGTGGGCCTCTAAAGGGACTCCGGGCAGAGGAATCCCCCCCCCAGCTGCTCTCTGCCTGTTGCTTTCTCTTACTGTCCCATAGCACCTGAGGGGAAAGTGCGGCTCACCTGGCAGGTGTCTGAGCCGGACCTGATCTGTAGCTGCCCCCCCCCAGCCCCCCCCACCCAGAGTGCAAGTGTGTGGGGAGTCCTCAATGAGATGTAGGTCAGGACCATCCAGTGGCAGCAGATTGCTCATTAAGGGCCAAACCAAGCAAAAGTCTGCGTGTTTCGGTGGCACCCGGCCAGCCATCTGCTGCCCTTTATTCCCTCATTAAGACGTCTTCTGTGTGCGCGCGTGCACGTGTGCGCGCATGTGGGGGCATTCATCACAACAGCCACTTGCTGCTCGGCGGCACCACGTCACCGTGTTGTTGTCCAAAAGCTGCAGTGGCGTGTCAGATGGCCGCTCACGTGACCCCCGCCGGCTGCTGATTGGCCGGCGCGCCGGGCTGAAAAAGCCTGGCGCCGCCCGGACGGCGAGTTCCTGGACAGGCTGTCAGAGCGGCCGCACCCGAAGGACCCTCAGATCAGCCGAGCCGCCGGACAGCAGACAGCAGAGCCGAGGATGCACCTGCTGGATGGACATGTAAGTTCTGCCCCCCGGGCCCCCCGCAGGTGAAGCTGCCGGGGGCCCCACAGTTCCTGACCGGCTCAGGACCGGCTCCAGACCGGCTCTGGTTCCACAGCCAGACCGGCTTCAGACCGGCTCTGGACCAGCTCCAGACTGCCCCACCCCTCTGTGGCCGACTGGGGACAGGAGGTCTGACATGCTCTTCTCTGTCCTGTGGTCTTCTCCAGCTCTTCTAACCTCTGAACCTGAGACGGGGGCCACCCTGACCACACCAAAGCAGCCGGACACCAAAGACAGTATCGCTCCCTGGGATCTTAACCTGAAGGATGAAGCTGGAGAGCCCGGAGGGAGACGTGAGCGGCTGGAGGGAGGTGGACTTTGCCCTGAACTGCACCTACATCGTTCCGGACCAGAGCTGGGACCCCAGCTTCAGCCTGCCCAGAGCCATGACCTCCATCCCCCGGAACCTCAGCTTCCACTACGGCCCAGACAACGAGGTGGGTGACGCCGCCGTCGGTCCCCCGGAGGCGTCCTGCCGGGGCGGGGGGGGGAGGGGGGGGGGGGGGGGGCGGGGTTCCGCTGGCATTTGGAGCTCAGAGGACCTTTAAGGCTGGACCTGCTCAGCATCCAGCTGTTTCAGCCCACGAGGACAAACACACACTCAGGGCTATTAACCCCCCCTGTGGCTGTTCTCACACCACCTGACCCCCCCTCAGACCACCTGACCCCCCTCTGCGGCTGTTCTCTGACCACCTGACCCCTCTCTTTGGCTGTTCTCTGACCCTCCCTCCCCTCTGTGGCTGTTCTCTGACCACCTGATACCCCCCCAGCCCAGCATGCTCAGCCTCAGAGGTTCTGGTTCCTTGGGGGGGGGGGATCACACTCTCTGCCGGCTGCTCTCATCTCTTCTGTGGCTGCGTCCTCTTCCTCTTTCTGCCTCCACACTTTGGGCCTCCGTTCCTCTTCTGCTGCTCTCATCTGTTCCTCTTCCGTCTGAGATAAGATCTCCCTGAACCCCCCGTCCCCCCCTCCCCCCCTTAGCTCCTGGGGCGGCCTAAGTCTTGCTGTGGAGGGTGGGGGGAACCTTCCTGTGGCCATGAGGACCAGGCTGCCCCTCAGGCTGGAGGAGCTCCGTCAGGTGGGCCAAAACTGCCCCCCCCCCCC